AGTAGTCACGCAGTGTTTGTTTAATATCTGATTCAACTTAATCAATATAGAAGAATATAAAATGCAAAAAGGCAAAATAAAATATATAATTTCTAGGCAAAGTACTAAAAAGCTGAGTATTTATCTATAATCTTTGTAATAAAATTAACTTAATTAAAAAAAAAAAAAAAAAAAAAAAATATTGTAATTTTGTAAGTAATAATTGCGCTTTAACTAATGTAAGTAATTTAAAGAAAAAAAAAAAAAAAAAAAAGCTTTTTAAATTATAAACCTGTACAGGTTTGTTCAGTTTCAGAAGAAGCTGCACCAATACTCCTGATCACAATTACCTAGAAAACTACCTAAAATTTCTGTGTGTGAAATATATTTTTTCTCATTTTTGTTTTGTTGTTATGTGGTGTTTTTAAAAAAATCAACAAGCAATAGTCATACATAATTAACATCTACTGATGCATGAGCAATACATCTATTTATACTATATGATTTACAAAATAGCCTCTAAAGACGGTTGGGGAATGACAATCGATGAAAATTTTGGCGATGTCAAGCCCTAGACGTCTTTAATAGCGCTTACTGCCAGTTGGCCATAAGAAGGTTGTAATTATTTTATATAACATTTTATATTTTTATATTGAGGAGAAATGATTAAGTGGTGCAGTTTAAAAATTAAAAGTAAAAAAAAAAATTATTTGAAAATAGATTTGTGTGTCTGAAACGTTCTATCTTTTTTTTTTTAATCTTTCTATAATTATTGATAATTTTGAAATTTTATGTCAATTTAGTAAATGACATCTAGAGATTGGACCTTGCCAAAATTATCATCGATCGTCATTCCTCATCCTTGATGCTGCTTTTTTTCGATTTTACGGTATATGATTGTATTAGGAAGACCTATTTTATTTTTCGTTTAGGATCTATCGGTTATTTTGTAATAATCTTTGAATTCTTCAACTAATTTGCCCTTTCAATTTTCGCGTTCTTAAGGATTCCAATATTTACAGATCTAGATGTTTCACCAAGATAAAACATTTAAACATTTTTTTCTAGATATTTCTGTTTCGTACCTTTTTTCTGTGGTCTTAAATTCAGAATAGAAATTTTATAAAAAAAACTTTATTTTTTTGAATAAAAAAAAACATTTTAAAATAAATATTAGTTTTTTTTTTGTATATATTATTTTTTTCATTTATATGTACAGGGTGTTAAAAAAATAGTTTAACTTTGCGGGTAATTCTACAGATAGAAATAAACAAAAGTTCCTATGAACATATACCCTAAAATGTTTCCCCTCGATAAATAGACATAAAAATAATCAAAAGTAAGTACTTTGTGAGATATGGAATTTATCATTAATTTGCATGAATACGATCTGCCAAATTTTTCAATACGAACGTTTACTTCAGATATGCTTACATATATTACTAACTATATATTTATACAGAAAAATATTTAACAACTAATAATTTTATTCATTAACTGATAATATATTTTAATCACTATTAATTGGGAATCTACTTTAAATATAAATTTTAACTAATAAAATTAGAAAAAAAATCTTTTAAAAATCAAACCAAACCCGCCAGTGTTTTACTGCAATTCCTTCCATATGTTCTGCAGTTGAGATGTAATTTAATCAAGAAAAACTTTTGAATTTTAAATAACAAATAAAAATTATATTTTATTGTTTTTAAAATAGAGAACTGCAGTGTAATTAACCCTCGTAAGGTCTCTATTTCTCATATTAATAAACAAAACAATTTATTTTCATATTTATAGATATTTCTTTTAGGTAATTGTATGTCAGGAGAAAGTAATGGGGGCAGTTTTAAACTTCATAGCTATTTTAAAATAAAAAATTCATAAGTTTTGTTTTCGATTAAAATATCAAGGTTCACGTAAGTTGAAGATTTTAATGTCATTTTTGAAAACAAACGATTTAAAGTTGAATTTATAATTGGATTCTAACTCTCTATCTTCTGTATTCTTAAAAACTAAAAAAGCACATATTATCTACGTCAGAGAATAGAAGTTATATTGACAGTCGTCGCTATTTTAAAAGTGAAATTTGCACGATTGAATTTCATTAAAATATCAAGGTTCATGTATGTTCTTGAAAGGATAAATTACGTCGATAAATCATATAATTACGTGTTCCAGTATTCCACGTTATTATGCATCCATGTAAACATAATTTTTCGTTAAAATTGTTAAACTGGATGGTTTTGAAAATTACAGAGAGTAAAAATTACTGAAATTTAACACAGCAGTTACAAATAAAACAATTAGATATGTAGGTGCTCACAGAGTGGCAACAATGGTAGTAGAAATAAATTTATACTCCTGATGTTTTGCAATAATAAAAAAAAGTTTAATTTGAATCCTCGTTCAGAAAGCTACTAAAATAGTCTTTTACGATATATTTGTTGTTAATTTTCTTATAGTATATTATTTTTAAATAAACTTTTAGTTACATATTGATATAAGGCAAACATTTTAAACATAAAAATGTTAAACATGTTTATATTAGAATAAAAAAAAAAAAAAAAAAATATTTTTCTGTACTAAAAGAGGGCCCAAAACATCATACATTTGCTGCCATAGATTGGTAATTTATTAAGCATCAGGATCGATGATGAACATTTTTAGATCATAAGGTGTGTAAAAGATCTAATGTAACTAACATAAAAAAAAGAGTGAAAGAACCCTACCCGATATAGAGCGTATTTTGTTAAACGACACGGCATTAAATGAATGTAATTCTACAGTAAAGTCTTCAGATAGATGTGTTTGTCATTTTAATTTCAAAGTAGTTTATCGATTTTACAAAGAAATGTTGGTACAATTGGAACGATTGGAACGCATAGCAGGAAATTAATATATTTAAAATTTGACTGATAAGACATTCAAAATATTAAAACTAAAACTGAAAATAATCGAGTTATTTTATTAAAAAACGGTATGGGGAATTTAAACAAACCAAAACCAAAAGAGTAAAAGAACTATTTTTACTGCTCAAGAAACTTCCCGTATTTATTATTACAGGTCACTCAATATAACTTAGGTACAAATACAAATTTGTATTATTCCATATTGTGAGTAACAAACGACATAAACCTAAAAATAACCATTTTGACACGAATAATACCATGCTGAATTTTAGTATTCAAAGGTTGATTAATTAACTTTAATCTTAATTTTAAAAAAAAAAAAAAAAAAAAATCATTAAAATCCATTATTTACCCGTCGTGTGATGTCGATATTATACAGCTACTCCAGTAGTACTTAGTACGATCCTTGTAGCACATACGAGATGCACTATTCGACGAGATGGTATACATCAACTTTATTGATGGTAACTTTAAGGGTGTAAAGATTTTCTGCCTGGGCACCGAGTATTAACCATGTGCGCTGATTCATGGTACACCGGGCTGTACCCGAGCCGGGCACGTAAAGTAGACACCGAGCCACGTCCAGGCCTTCAATATATGCTACACCGAGTGGACAACTGGGATTATGTCCGTGCCGATTATATTCTAGAAAACAGTGTTGCCGCAGTGGGACATTTGTACCAAATTTGATACTTTTAACTCTATTTGGTACGTGGTACTACATTTTCAAATCCAGGATGATTTGGTAACAATAATTATTTCCTACGCGCAATCAAATGGAATAGATATTTATCAATTATTGTTGTTGATATTGCATTAAACGCGCTTACCGATACTATTCGGAGACAATCCGCATTAATTAACGACGTATAAACGTTGTAATGTCTATAGCGTTGCCTATATTAAATAACCCGAAGAAAAAACTTGAAATTGCCTGTTTCTAACATGCTTCTATATTTATGTTTTTTTCAATAAAATTTAAGTTTTCCAAGTATTGTGTGTAGTATTAGAATTACTAGATTTCTTCAACCTATAATACTTATAATTGGGTTTCCTGAATTTCTATTTCATGTTTTTCGTCTTGATTTGTGTCTTTCTCCAGGAAGTTTTTTATGTAAAAATTTATGAAGAAATTCACAGCAACCAAACCGGTTAAAATCATTTGCAGATGTATTTTGTTGTGTTTTAAAAAATTGTACCAAAGTGGTACAATTTTAGTTTATAATGTGGTACGCGCTAAATGTTGGGTGCGGCAACACTGCTAAAAACAGTCGCTATAGGCCCATAGACGAACGAAGTATTTAGCCACGGCGGCTCATTTATGTTCGCCGCAACCGGGCCGGACCGTAGCGGATCCTAGGAAAAATGTACACCGACATCTCTCGGACGGGGCACGGACGGGTTCCGGCGAAGCTCGGCCCGTGCTCGGCTGAGCATGAATGCATAAGTATAAATAACTTTTGACAATGTTTGGCCGTGCTTTCACCGTCGCACGGCCCGGGCCCGTCACGGTGTACCATGAATCAGTCTTTAACGCTCTGGGTCTACAGTTAATTTTCCTCGATTTTTCCTACACTTAACTCCAAAAGACACAAAACACAAAACACACGTAATAACACAATCAAAATGCATCATCTTCCAAAACGCAGATATTTTACATAAGTTGACTCCAAAATTGTAACTTTATAACGGCAAGACTTTAATAAGCCCGGTCGTTTCTAAAATCTTAAGGCGAGTTCATACGCATCGGCGTCCGTTTGTCGGTCATCGTTCCGTCAAACCAATAAATTGAAACATGGTCTACGTTGAAATAAACCAATAAACTGGTTAAAAACACGACGACGCATATTTGATTTATATTTTAAACTCATCTTAAAATTAATATTTAAAAAAAAATATTAGAAAACTTTTTTAGTAAAATAAATAGATTGCTATGGACGTCATCCGCTTTTCTTCTGTCATCGTCTGTCAAAATCTTTTACCTGAGAAAAAAACAGAGTATATTTTTATGTCTCTATGTGCAACACGTAAACATGCTACCTCTGTGTTAATTTTACTTCATTCTCATCAATCTCCGAAACGATTTCTCTGATTTTCTCCCTTATTTCGCAGGCGGTGGCTCCATCTCGCGCGGGCAGCCGCATGCAGCAGTACGACGACGCCGGCCTCCAGGAGGCGGTCGCCGCGGCCGCTCAGCAAGGCGAGGGTGGCGCCGCCACCGGCGCCGGTGAGGACGCCGACGTGCCCGCCGCCCCCGATCCCAACGCCCTCAGTCTAGTGCCGGCCGCTGGCAATGGCGCGCAGCACAATCAGAGAGGTAAGTGACGTTAGCAGGGGAGGGGATAAAAACGTGGAGCGTAGTTGGCTGTGAAGCCAGCGACTGTTTGTTGTTATTTTTTATATTGAGTCAAGAGGAAAATAAACAGTTATTTGTTGAAATTAATTAATGGTTATTATTATTATAAATTTTGATCGTTTTAACTAAACTGCCGTATATGTTTTGTTTAGAAATTTAGTTCTTTTTGTATTTTGTTCTGATTTTATAAATATACAGGATAGTCCGAATTGTGTTCGGGAAACTAAAAAAGTTTTTGTATAAATGTATGTCTTAAAATGCTTCGTTTCGGAGATACATGACATAGAAGTTTAATATTTATTTTGATTTTTTTTCAAATAATTTCTGAACTAACGGCGTTATTTAGATGAAAATTGATGTCTGGGAGTTTTCTGACATGAGAAATTTGAGCCCGAGGTCAATATAACTCCTACTTGTAGGGGGCGCCACCTACATTTTTAACTGGTTTAAAGAGTAATGACTTTTCGTCTGTACCTGTATAAAACTACTGAGTGAAAAAAAAATCGGATTTTTTTCGTAAAAAAAGGTCTCTTATATTAAATACATGTCATCATTAAAAAAAATTAAGCATGTTGACTAGATAGTTAGACTGAAATTATAAAATTGAAATATTTTTCTGGCAAAGGTTCAACAGAAACTCTTTCATCATAATTTTTTCTCGAAAAAATTTTAATTAATTTAAAAAATTAAGAAGTTCCCAAATTTATAATTTCAGTCAAATAACTATCTATCCAACATGTTTATTGTTGCTCAGTAATAACATGTATTGATAATCTACATTCCAAATATCTTTTTCAACATTTTTTCACTCAGTAGTTATATATGGGTACAGACGAAAAATTACTACTCTTCAAATTAGTTAAAAATTTGTAGGTGGCGCCCCCTACAAGTAGGATTCTTATTAACATTGAAATCAAATTACCGTGTAAAAAAATACCCAGACACCAATTTCCATCCAAATATTGACATAGTTCAGAAATTATTTGAAAAATATCGAAATAAAAATGAAATTTCTATACCTTGTATACCCAAACGAAGCACTTTATATAACTGTATACGAACTTTGTTACCTATTTTTATCGGTAGAATATGCTCACGAAGTTTTCCGAATACAATTCCGACTACCTTGTATATTTGTATTTGGAACATACATATATCACTTACTATCTTGTTCATAAATCATTTTTTGCCCGATACAAATTTTATTTAAACAAAATAACATGCGAAAAATAAAAATAAATAATTTAAAAAAACATGATTATTTGTATCGTCTATATCAAATTTTGAGCATACTCAATTCTACTATTTTACCTATTAAGCATTTGAGTATAGCTATTGTAACTTAAGAACTTGGTTCTATTTAAAACACATTTTTGCAAGATTTCTTTATAGTAAAGTCTATCCAACGAATCAGGGAATATTTCTATAGATGACGTCCAAAAAATGACAGAAAATACAATTTAATAAAGTAACTACACTTTATAGATATGCAGAAGGCATTTTGTTAAATTAAAATGACAGTTCTATGTCAAATGAGTTTACTTTTAAGCAACATTTTCTTTGATACTTTGAACATTTTTGTAATCTACCACCATGACGGTTCTCACATGTCAAAAAAACACTATGACATACTACTATGTCATAGTGTTTTTTTGTTATTGGGCATGCGGAATGGGTTCCTCACAAACTAACGGATTCTAGTGGTTGTAAATTCATCTTGAAAGTTTTCACAATGTTTTCGCAAAATGTTTTTTCCTATTTTTAAGTGCTGCTCGGATATTTTGCTGCTCGGCTATTTTGGATTTCTTACTTTAAAATAACTTAACCTGGTTAATTATTTCGAAAAAATGCAAATAATAACAATAAACTATTAAAAAAAGTATATAAATTTAATACAAAATATGGCACCTAGATTTTAAATATCTGTATGTGTTATAAAAACAAACAAATTTGCTAAAAAATCATAGTTTTCTAAATAAGAGCATCTGTTGTGCTTTAAATTATCATGAAAAGAAAATAATTGCATGTTTTGATGATATTAAGTTGGTTTTCAACTGTCAATTTTGTTTAGACGTAAGCGACGACGAGGACGACGACCATCCGGTAGCCAACGGAGGTGGCTATTGGAGGCAAGGGGCGGCCACCCGCCCCTCCAGTCCTCCGATGGCGGATAATGCCAGCGACGCTTCTTCTATGCAACCCCCAGCGCCCAGATCAAAAAGCCGAGTAGAAATGGCAACCAGCAGGTTGGTATACTATTTACTGTTTATGATTCACTTTTTTTTTCATTCATTTTTTTATTTTTTTTATTATTTTATTTTATGATTCATTTTTTTTAATTATTTTATTTTGTTTTTTTAATGTCATTGTCTTTGAAAAATCATATTATTATTGTCTGTTGGGCAGTTACTCTAACAGATATGGTTTTAAGTCCAAAAGTTAACCTCTAGCATGATCAATTAAGCAGCAATAACCGATACTTCAGAACTTAAAATCATCTCTACTAGAGTAAACGTCAATAAATAATAAGATGACTTTTCTATGACAGTAATATTACAAAAACAATATACACTATTTTATAAGTGTGCTGATGAGGACCCAAAATCAATGCTAAAATTGCTGTTAATCAAAAGCGAATATCTCCAATAAAAATAAAGCTATTGAAATAAACAAAAAAATAGACTATCGGGAAAAGACATACCTAGATGACAAAATGATTTTTAAATTCCTTGCGTTGTTAACATATCCCACAGGGTGTTTGAAACTTTCACAAATATATTAACATTTTGTTTTCCCTCGAATAATTGACAGATAAGAAATTTCAGACACTAAAAAGTTAGATAATTTAGCTACAAATTGCTTAAAAAATCATCAAAATTGGCCCACTAGAACAAAATATATTAAACTTTAAAATACATCAATATTTTGAGTGAGTGTATTTTGATATTTGAACATAGAAAACCTTCATTGATATTATTTTATAAAATTTTGCTGTAGTGGTTTTAATAATTTGATTAGAGATATTTTGAACAAACAATAAAAATATTTTAAAAATACTTTAATAATAAGCATTTTTTTTCAGATATTCTAATTTGGGATATTGGAAAGCTCGTAGAGTACTTTTTTACAAAAATGGCGACCCATTCTTCCCCGGAGTTGAATTTAGATTTAAACCAGGACGTGATATTGTTAGTTTGGAATCTTTATTGGATAAATTGTCACTTAGAATGGATCTTCCAAGAGGAGCAAGG